ATGTTTGTCATGTCTTTGGGGGAGACAAAGCTGGGAAAAAGTCTCTTTATAATCTCCCCCCTCCCCCCCAGAAGATTACTTCTTAAGTTTTAAAAGATAAAAGTTTGAAAAATAAAATGTACCCTAAATAATGGTCTAGGTTTCAACAGGGACACAAGTAATATCTTAGAAGGCATTTCAAGTCGATGTGGCTTACCAGTAAATTTTGATGGCTTCTTATTTTTATTTATTTATTAACACTTTTTATTGTGAATTGAGTGGTTTACCGAACAAATCATCAGGATATTTTTACATTCAAAAACCCATACACATTTTGCTTCATTTCATTTGTTGTGATCCTTGCAGTACAGCATCACTGATTCTACCTCCTACGTGTGTTTCCAGCCTCCACTCTGCCTCTAAATCCTTTAATTTGTCCTAGAACAGTAGTTCTCAACCTTTGTAATGCTGTAACCCTTTAATACAGTTCCTCATGTTGTGCCGCCGCCCCCCCCCAACCATAAAATTATTTTTGTTGCTACTTTATAACTGTAATTTTGCTACTGTTATGAATTGGGTGACCCCTGTGAAAGGGTCGTGAGAACCGCTGTCCTAGAGCAGATGCTGCCCTCGTGGTGGTATCCTGGTTACGTGTTGGGCTGCTAACCCCAAGGTCCACAGTTTGGCAACCAGTAAAGGCTTTCTATTCCAGTAAAGTGTTACAGTCTCGGAAATAAATGGGGGTGGTTCTACCCTGTCCTATAGGTTTGCTGTGAGTTAGAATTGAGTCAGCATTGAATTCAGTTTGGCATGTAACTCCCTAGTGGTGGTGTTCCCCTTATTAGACTCCTTATTGTTTGATTGAAAATAGAGGCATGTCAGTGATTTCAGTTCTTGACCATATGGATGACTGGTCAGTAGTTTTTAGGGGGGGTGGGGGGACGTCCAGCAGACAGACTCTTGTTCTCTGTGATTATGAGTTTGATTCCACCTTTTCCTCCTGTTCTAGTCAGGACCTTCTAGTCTAATGTGGTCCCTCTCAGAGAAGTTTGTAGAGGCCAGTCAGGCACCATCTAGTTCTTTTGGTGTCAGGGTCACGAGAACTGAAGTTCACATAGCCCATAATGCACAAGACTAATTCGGTTCTTTGTGTCTTCGATTTTCTTCATTCTTCATTTTACTCACAGAAAGAAACCAATAGTTGGACCTTAGATGTCTACTTCTAAGCTCATAAGACCCTGCTTGTACTCACCCAAGTAGGATGTAGAACATTGTCTCTGTGGACAGCTGTATGGGGGCTTTTTAATTTTGCTTATGTATTCTTGGTAGGTAGATATTAAGCTCAGTTATTTATAGCTACTAAAATATTTGTATATAGTAAAGTAAAGGAAACTTTATAAACCTTGAAAATCATTTTAAATGGTAGTATCTTGCAAAGCCCCATTGCCTACTCTATTTAAACATTAGACGTGTATTATAAATTGATGAATAAGTCTTTTCCCGTTTCTTTTGTAGATGTGGTGGTACAGTGGGAGCTATTCTGACATGTCCACTGGAAGTTGTGAAAACACGCCTGCAGTCATCTTCTTTGACACTTTATATCTCTGAGGTTCAGCTGAACACCATGGCCGGTGCTAGTGTCAACCGAGTAGTCTCTCCCGGACCTCTCCACTGCCTAAAGTGAGCACGTTTGTTTTTGTCTGTACTGCCACACTGGAAAGGTTCCTTAAGTACTTAAGTACAAGTTACTCTAAGTTATACTTATTAGAAGCAGTAACACCCAATGGAGAGGGAACATTAGATGAATAATACAAATAGAATATTATTCCCAAGTCATTTATCTGGAATAGCTTCCTGTATTTGTCTTGTGTATTTATTTACTTAAAGCTTCTGATTTATTTTTGGAATTTGGTGGTTTAATGTTAACTCTTTTTTAATATGTTATTAATTTCAAAAATATGCACAAAGCGAGTACATTCATTTAATGGCAGCCTTTGGTTTTTATATAACCTGGAAAACTAAATCAATGGTAAAAAGATGAGGCTTTCTGCGCCTGTAAAGATTTACAGCCTCAGAAACTCCAGAGGGGCAGTTCTAAAGTAGGATCTCTATGAGTTAAATCAATTGGATGACAGTGTGTTTAGTTTGGTAAGAAACTTAATTGAGACTTTAAGTAGAATTCTACTGATTTTAAAATGTTATTCTGTTGATTTGGTATTTCTTGGTGGATTAAGAAGAATTTATTTGTGAATTTTATTATACTTTATTATGTTACCAATCAGAATTGAAACTTAGAACTATGAAAATCAGATTATATATCTTTAAACATAGTGATGTAACTGAATGTTTTGTGTGTTTGTCTTATCAGTTCACTTGGTGCCTACTCTATTTGAGCTTAGTTCAGTAGTGTTTATTTTGTAGTGAAAAATAAACTCCTCTATTTGTTCGCCTTCACTATCAAAAAATTTCATCACTCTTTTAAAAAAAATTAGTTACTAAGTACATGGATAAGTAGAATAAAATTGTGAACAATTTTTGGATTACCGTGACTATAGATAGTTAAGTACTTTTGGGTGATGAATAGTAGAAGAATATTTTCATAGCTTACTTTTGACAGTGTACTCACTACTTCTTAAAATTCTACCTTTGACATATCGAGGTATAATACCAGGGGTCCTCAAACTTTTTAAACGGGGCCAATTCACTGTCCTCAGACCCATTGGAGGGCCGGACTATAGTTTTAAAAAAAGCTATGAACAAATTCCTATGCACGCTACACATATCTTACTTTGAAGTAAAAAAACAAATGGGGCAAACACACCCGGCGGGCCGGATAAATGCCCTCGGCGGGCCGCATGTGGCCTGCGGGCCATGGTTTGAGGACCCCTGTATTATACTATATGCAGGGGCTTCAAAAAGACTGTAGAATTGAAAGACAATGTGATTTTTCCCACAGACTTTTTAAGCCCCCTTGACTTTTGTTGACTATTTTCTGCCTTTCCCCAGCAACTCTTAAGAACCCTCTGGGCACTGTGGTCATTTTGGTTTTTCAGACTTAGCAGGGTCTGAAGTGAAACCTAGGATGTTTCAACTGCACTCATTAGACATTTGACCTGCAAATGTACATTGTCTGTGTTTCTTCTCTCCATCTCACCCCCGTGTCCTCCTTTAATCAGGGCACTGTCAGTTTTATGACTGTTGCTGCTGCTTTTTTTTAACGTCTTTATGATTGAAATGTAATTTGCATACCATAAATCTCAAACATTTAAGGTATACCTTTTAGTCATTTTTAGTATGAGAGGGCTTCAAAAGATTTGTGGGAAAATTCTATTATCTTTTAAGTCCATTTTTCCACTAATTCTTTGAAGCCCCGAATATTCAGAGTTGTGTAGCCACATCACAAGTCTAAATTTAAACATTCTCATCACACAAAAAATTAACCCAATACACATTAGCAGTCATTTTCATTCCCTCTCTTCTCAGCCTTAAAAAACTTTTGCCTTCAAGTGAATTCAAACGCATGGCAACCTTAGGACAGATTAGAACTGTCCCTTAGGGGGCTTCCAAAATCCACCACATCTCTGACCAGTGTTCTCAGCCAAAGACATCTACTATTTACTCTCTGTCTCTATGGATGCATTTTCTAGATATTTCATATTTAGCATGTATCTTTATTGCTTTATGTACCATTGTTTAGAGGTATACCTGTGAAAGCCAGAACACATGTACGGTGGAAACCCATCAAAGAAGGAAAACATATTTTCCACTAACAGCGAGCTATAGGAAAGTGATAAAACTGTACCTTGTCAAAGGCAGAAAACTTGAAAGACCTGGAAAAACAAGGCAGTTCTTTTGCATTCCAGCTCTCACAGGTTTCACTGTATCACATTTATTCATCAGCTGATGACATTTGGCTTGCTTCCTTTTGGTGTAAATGAACACCGCTAATGTTTTGGATAAACTCGCTATCAGCTATCGCTATGCCGCCTCATAGCAACCGTATAGGACAGGGTAGACCTGCCCATGTGAGTGAGTTTCTGAGACTGTTTATGGGGGTAGAAAGACCACGTCTTTCTCTCAAGGAGCACCTGTTGACTTTGAGTTACTGACCTTCTGGATCACAGCTCAATGTGTGATCCTTGTGCTGTTGGATGGACAAAGGTTTTCTACCTAAGAGGCAATTGTCAGATCAGTCGTATGCAACTTTATGTGTAACATTTTGAAGGATTGCCAAAATGTTTTCAAAAGTGAGTGTATCATTTTACATACTATATGAAGTAGTAATAAATTAGAGTCCCAATTTCCATACATCTTTGCCAGTACTTGCTATTTTATCTGTCATTTTGATTACAGCTATTCTTATTCTAATGGTCATAAAGTGTTAACTAACTTCCTAAAAGGTTTGTGGATGTGCTTTAATAAGTGAAATTGTATACAAAATAACATTTTTAAAAAACAACACTTAGCTTCCTTAGTTTCTCAAAGGGTTTCGCGATATGGAAAGACTTAATCATCGAGTCTTCTTCGCTTTTGGCAGGACAGTCCCGATTTTTAACAATTTTTCCCACGTCCCGCAGCATTTTAATAAAGTCCCGATTTTTTGAAAGAATGCACAACAAGCTAGGTTATACGGTTTTCGGCTGCCATGTGGCTATTTCGCCAGGATATAAGTTTTATTAATGGTGTCCCGCTTTCCCAATGTTAAAATCTGGTCACCTTACACTAAACATAATTTGGCTTCATACCCTCGCAGTCTTGCCTTCAAGCTTTTAAATAACCTTAAGCATCAGCTACCTTTCAAGAAATCTTTTTATTTTTAATTTTTTAATGAAATACTATATTTAATTATTATTCAAACACATGAGACTTGGCTTCTCACAGTTTACATATGGGAATTTAGCGTGATCCAAACTCCAGTATCCATTTCTCTGATCTTTCAGTGTCTGCAGCAGATACTGATTTAGAAACCTTTTTAAAAGCTATATTTCAAAATCCTCGGTAGTTGTGGGTGTTAGATGTTAGAGAACCTCTGACATAGTTGGATAACTTTTCATCAGTCTCTATTCCTGAGATTCTCAACCCCAGAAACCCTTCCCCGACTGAGACACACCTCTCCTCTTCAGTTCCTCCGCTTCTCCAGAATAAGCTGTTACACTCTTCTCACAACTGGTCAGCGAATTTCTGTCTCCTTACTCTTACTAATCATAGAAAGCTCTCTGGGCAACATAGTAAGTACTCAATAAAATAAATGCTGTGTGGAGGGAGAGAAATTAATAGAGTAACCAGTTTAGTACCTACTTTAAAGGCTGTTGGGTTACTAGATGTGTTTCCCGTGTCATGTCCGTAGAACAACGGGATGAAATAGAATTGCAGTAGTGGAGAGTGTTGTTCTGTTCATTCGGAGTACTGGAAGGGGGGAAACGTTGCTCATTGGAAGTTGACTTTGCTGGGGCAGGTAGTGAAATTGAGGGGATTGTAGATGGGAATGGCGTTAATGAAAATGGAGATGCTGTATCATCTTCAAACGTTTAGGAAAGAATCTGAGCAGAGGTTTTATTATCAGTTGTCAAAAGTTTATGCTGTATCAAGAAAACAATGTTTATAAGTAGGAGAAAATGACCCAAATAAGTGTTACATATTAATAATAGAAATTTTATTGTATTTAGACCCTACGTTTGTAATACAAAATAAATAAAGTGCCAGACGCGGAAGAACATTTTTGTCTCAAGGAGTTCTTTTTCTTACAGGATGATCTTGGAGAAAGAAGGACCTCGCTCCTTGTTTAGAGGATTGGGCCCCAATTTGGTGGGGGTGGCTCCTTCCAGGTAAAACCAAAACTATAAGTGTGATCATTTTTCATCCCCTGTCTTAGGGCACAATGACCGTTCTAAATGCAATTGTTTATAAACGTGGATTTAAATGTTTATGAAAAGTTAAATTATTTCATTTTCTTTTTAAGGATTTCAGGTATATATATACTTGAGTATAAGCCGAGTTTTCCAGCACATTTTTAATGCAGTTTTTGTGGTAAAATTAGGTGCCTTGGCGGATATTTGGGTCGGCTTATACTCAAGTATATACAGTACTTAACAAACATATAGCCATAATAAAGTAAGACTTGGTAGCAGGAAATGGTGTTTGGTATTTCTAAGACTGAAAATTGGTACAATTAGATAGGAGCAGTGGTAATGGGAGTGCGAAGGGTGTGTGTGTATGTATAATGTTTGCATTAAATATTAAATGATATATAGTCTTGTTTTGGGTAGAAAAAGAAACTTGGTCAGTTATAGCTAAAGTATTAAAAAATGCTGTGTTGTATAAATTAGCATTACGAGCAGTCATTTACCTAAAATTCCGTGGATGGAACTGACGAGTTTTTTTGGTTTGTTTTGTTTTGTTTACTTTGCATCCAGTGTTTAAAATACTGAACATAACATTTATCATTATATTGCACAGAATAGGAGATATTAAATATTTACGTAATAAGACTGGAAATTTCTCTTAGAACTAGGTAGGCACTTTGTACTCAGGTTTCCTGAACAAAGGCTTTTATCATCCTCTGATTGTAATTGGTAAAAATTTGCATAAGTATAGGCTCATAGATTATTCTGATGCTTGAGTAGATTTTGTTCATTTCAAACCAGTGCTTATATTTTGAAAAATCTGTCCACAAAAAATAATATTTTAAGTAAAAGTATCTGTTGGTCATCAAAGACTTAATACTTAGGATATACGTGTATGTACTTTTTTTGTTCTGTTTTTGATAGCCGTTTTGTTGGGTCTATCATCTGAAATCCAAGTTCTTTTCCCAGTTCTCGACACAGCAGAGGAAAAGTAGTAAAAATCAGGACTTAGATCAGGCTTAAAGAAAAGAACAAGAAGCCTGAAACATCAGAACTTGAAAAGCATTGAAGTGTCATAAAAACTGCGCACAGATGCCTACCTTAGCTAAACAAAAGTGAAAGCCAATGCTGTGCAGAGATGCCCTCTTAACACGGTGGGACACTTTGCACGGAACTCAGAAGGCAAAGAACAATCTAAGAAGGGGAGAGCCTGCATCTTTGAGATTTTAGGGGGCAGGGTAAACAGAATGATTCCATTTCCCCCAAAACAAAAAAGACCTTATTAATACATTGATTGGTTATTTTTCTTTAATAAATTTTATCCTAGATTTTTTACTTCTTCCATGATAGAACACTGTCCAAATGTCACTTTTATAGTGAATATTCATATCAGTGTCCTGTGTGCAAGCCAAGTACTCCATCCTTCGTTTTTTTAAATCGTATTTCAAGTTTTGTTTGATTGTTAATGGGCTCTTTGTCCAAATTAAACACGTTCCCTCCATCCTATCCACTCTCTCACACCCACTTAATAATGATTTTTACTTGTATCAGCATATCCCCACCACCCAAAGAGAGATTTACCTTTACACAATGAGCTCATTCATATGTTTTCCAGTCATCAGAATCTTAGGCAAACATTTCTTGCTTCAGTGTGTCCTTTGTTAAGTAGCTGTTATCATAAGTACTTGGTGGAGGGGCTCTAGTTGAGTGATTCACTATAAAACGTACATCAGGGTCTCCCTAGAAAAAATGTGCCTAACAATTAGTTTGTTTTCAGACTTTATTACTGTTTTAATTTTTATTATAAAGTGCCACATACGTGTTTATCAACATGTTTATTGATAAAATTTAAACCTTTATTTTAGAGCAATATACTTTGCTGCTTATTCAAACTGCAAGGAAAAATTGAATGGTGTATTTGATCCTGATTCTACCCAGGTACACATGATTTCAGCTGCAATGGCAGGTAGGAATGTACAATACTAAAAAAGGAAACTTTCTGGAATGTTGAGACAGTGTTAAATTGTAAACTTTACATTAAAAAGTTAAGGTGCGTAATGCATTTTCCATTAAGTAGCATCTGTAAAAATATTTAGTTATTTGTATAAAAATACACTTGATCAAGTATATAAAAATCTGTCATCAATTGGCCTATTTTTAATTAAGCATTTAATTGATAAGATACACATTGTATTTTTCCTTGTGTAATCCACTGAATATGTAGTGATCTCTTAATATTTAAAGAACAATCTAACTTTAATTATACTTTAAATAAGTAATGAAGCTGTAATTTACTCTTTTCTCCTCAATTTCTGTTAGTGCCTTTTTCCTTTTTGCTGCATGTTTTGGCTTCTGTCTGAAATGTGCCGGCAGTTCTTGGTAAAGTATTCATTTTGTCCTGTGCTCAAGTGCTGACATTCTTGTGAGTGGTGTAATATTGGTAGCTCAGATACCTAAGTGATCTATATTTATCTGTATTTTTTTTATTGTTTACAGTCTGAATTTGTGAGACCTCTTGCCACCCACACAAGTGACATTAGAAAGTGCTTGATATTGAGGGGCACTGGGTGTATGCATGCTCGCTGATACGAGTGATTCCAGCAGCCTATCTACCAGTCTTAATAATGCATATGTGTAAAGGACTGTTGTGGGGAAAATGGAATGAAAAGACTGTGGCAATTGTTTATAAATCCTTTGATGCTCCCGTGTAAAATTTTTTAAAGTGCTGAGTCTCTGTGATTCCACGTCATTAAAGACAAACTAGGAAATTAGTTTGACCAATCTGGCTCTGGAATCATTTGCTGCCATGCAAGTTAGACAAAGCCATGGACTTTGGTTCTCAAAAGAGATTGCTCTGTAGTTTTCTGAGGTTTATTGCATTTTACCAGTGCTTCCTTCACATTCTTAAATTGTGTTAGGAGTGTACAAAACAGACTCTAGCTGCTCTAGTCAATTGTTTCTTTTTTGGTCAATAAGAGTGTCAATCATGTGCTTCATAATGAGTGCCTTAAACTGTTAACCATTTTCTGTTTAGAAATAAATTGGATCAATTTGAACCACATACTTAACGAACTAAGTGTAAGTTGGAAATACTAATTTCTGAAAGGTTGATTGCCCTTACCATATAATTCTAGTATGTATTTTATAAATTGTTTTCAAGCCTTTTACTATTTAGCAATTACTACTGATTTGTTGAGGTCTTACAACTGGAAGGATCAACCTTAAAGGTCAAGATAGTGAAGGACTAATTTATCAATGAGGAGATTGTGGGCCAGTTGCATAATTTATATGAACCCCCATTGCCATATTTTTTAAATGAATAGGTTGGTCTACATAATGTGGACTTTGATTATTAGTTCTTTAATTTGGTACTGTAGAGATTATTTAGTTACAACTAAAAGTATTGTTGACATACTTTTTACAGATGGCGAATATGAATAAATACAATTGTCCCCCCTATAAGTTTGAGAGGATGTGAGGTAAAAGTTGGTGACCAATGAAAACTATGTAAACTATGTATTAGATTCTTTAAGAATATATTTCTGAATTACTAGTGTTTGTGGGTTTTTTACATGCCAAAAGATAATCAATAAATGTTACTTTCTATTTTGAAAATTAAAATCAAGGAAAGAGCCAGTGATTTTTAAGCTGAGGATAGTTATAAACTGAGAGGTTCAGGATATCTTAATTCCCAGTGGAAATTTTTTTCATTAAAATATCAGAATTTATTGCCGTTTTTTTATCACATTGCAGGTAATTTCAGTAAAATTTTCATTTTGCTCTCTTCTCAAATGTGTACAAATGCTAAGTCATGGTTTGTCTATTTTTATCTATACATTACAGTACTACTATTTTCCAACTCTGATTCCTTGAATTTGGTAAATCAGTAATACTTGTTCAGAAATGATTGCATTGTACATTTAATGTATAATTTGAAAACACCTCTTCCATTTGTTTGCAGTTACATTTTTCTGAGAGCTTCCTTGCACTGTCCTTGAGCATTAACATTTAGCTTTGCAGTTATTCATAACTACATGGTTGAAACTGAGTGGTCCCATGCAGACTCATTAAGGTAGCCTTTTGCCCTCTTCGTTTTTGAAATAATCGACACCAGTCTGCTCTGGTTATGGTGTAGGGTCATTTTAGAGGTCTTCTAATGTGAATGATCTAGGGGTACAAAGTGCTTAGAGATCGTCAAATGTGAAAAATCAGTTTTTACTGGCTATGTAAAAAAAATGCTAACCTTGTCACTTTAGCATCAAACATGCACTAAAATAGATTATCATTGGCAATATTGCCTATAAAATTTTGCTGCAGTAATGCACATATATACATTAAGGCACCAAATCAGTTTCGTGTTATGTAACATACAAAGGGGCTTCAGAAAATTCATGGGAAATGGAATTGGAATGGAATTTTCCCACACACTTTTTGAAATCCTTCCCTTATAGAATCCCAGGGTTTAATTTAAATAACTATGGCACTGTAAAAAAATTAATTACTGGGCAATTTATTTAAAGTGGGTCTTATTTGCATTTATTGTACTATTTCAAATAAACACAAGAATCTGTAAACCTTTAAAATCAAGCTATTTATGCATTAAAATGTTTTCAAATTATGCAGGCAGGTAATGCAGTTAAGTAATGTTGGGTTCCTGTATATTTTACTTGCCTTTGTTCTTCCTTTTTCTGAGTAGGTCTTAGCGACCGAGGGTCTCTGTCTTTGTGCCTGTGTGTTACTGTTTGAGTAAACGTGCATACCCTTCCATGCCCTTAGACGTTGGTGTGCCTTCAAGAGCTAATATTAGGCGTATTCTTTGTAGTAATTCCTAATTTTCACAAGCTCTTATCTAGCATGTGTCTTTTATATACATTATAGAATTAAAGGAGATGAATTCTGATTTTTATTGAACTACATTCCATTATTCGTCAATTAAAAATTTTTAATAATGTAGTTATTTAATATTATATATTAACTTATTCTGTTTTTTAAATTCCATTATGTAATTGTTAACATTTTCTACACCTAGTAGGTTTTATTTGCTTTCATAGCATACACTACAATTTTTACAAGATAGAAGTTCTATTTTACGTAGTTTATAATCAGAGACTAAGTTTTTACTAATTAAATAGAAATTTTGTCTTGTGTATATAAGATATTTTTAAATAATACTTTATTTGTTCCATGGCAGTTCATTCAGCTAGGTGAATGATTGGCCAGGTGTTTTGTGTGTTTGTGTGTAAACATTCTTCCTGTTTTTTGTTTTGTAGAACACAAGAAATTAAATACACAATAATCCAAAATATTCCATAAGTATGGATGTGCAATATTACTGCCATAGAGCAAAAAGTGACAGGTACTTTTGTAGAAGCATACTTTATTTACTTAATAAAACTGAAAATTGTTACAAATAAAGTTACTTGAGTATTCTGTTTTTCTTAAAAAACAGATATACTTAGTAGGCTGATGGTTAAAAGAAAAGCATGTCTTCCGCTCTTTGATGACAGCAAATAATAGAGGAAAATGGGATGCTATAATTCCCCCAAACCAGACATTTTCTGAAGTTCCCCATTGACAAGGTTAGCATTTTTTCCCCTTAGTTTGGGCTTCTTTTAGGTAAGTATTTTGACTTAGAAACTGCCGCAGATGGCAGGATTTTCAGTACTTGATTCAGTTTAAAAAAAAAAAAAAGATTGTGGCCTGTTCTGGTATCTTTCATTTCTTTTCTTTTTCTTTTTTTATTAAACTGAAAATTTTCAAAAGAACTAGCTCTCACAATAACTATTTCTCAAACCCTTCCAATGGGATTCAGTTTGTACACGTGTTTCTGATGAGGTCGCTGCTTGTTGTTATGATACAGAAAAGCCTGTGTCTATTTTAGGCATTTACTGTACATTTCTCCCGAGAAAAGAGTGAGATCGTGTCATCTCATGCTCCCCATCCGCAGGTCACTTCCTGTAGAAATATGGACTAACTTAAACCTCGTGAGTACTGAACTGAGCATCTCTTGGAGCCTCTAGCATAAGAAACACACCCTGGGTTTTTATAACAGCTATGGAATTAATAGGCGGGAAATGAACTTTTATTAGCTCAATATGTTGCGTGTATTATCTGATTATTTCATAAAAATTAAATTCTGATCTCTTTAGTAATCATTCTAGAAAGAAAATGGGGTACTTTTCAGTTATCTGATAATCAAATCATGAGGTCATCAGCTTGGCCATAACTAGCGTTACCTCAAAAGAATTTGCTAACAGCATTTAAAACGTACACAGTTGTAAATGGTACCATATTGCCCTACAACCAGGAAAATGTGTGGCTCTCTGCTTATCAGCACGTACATTAAGAGTCTACTACAGTACTTCTCATTCTCATCTGTCAGAACTGGATTTTCTACTCTCTTACAAAAATACTGATCTTACATCATTGCTTTCTAAATAAAAGCAGGATAGGAATATCTGAGATCTTAGCTATTTAGGTTTAATTAGGTGTCTTTTTCTTTTTTTTTTAATATCTAGCACTTGAGGCTAGGTGGCCTTTGGTCTCACAGAATTTAAGTAAGAATTATTGAAAATGCATGCTACAGGTATTGCTCACTTAATAGGTGTTTTCAGCAGGCTTGTTGTAAGCAGAAATTCTCTAACTCTGGTATTTAATTGGTTCACATTATTAAGTGCAGTCTTAAATGAAACAAAACTTTAAAAATTTCACTTAAATTTAAACTTTTCTAATAAAGTACTAACCACATTGCTAACACTATGACCCAGTATATTGGCACTTTGCTTTAACTGATTATCAAGCATATTAATTCTTTACCTGCAAATGGATCCCTCATATATTTCTCACAATATTAATATGAAATACAACATTTAATCAAACTATCTTAATTCAAATTCTTAAATAAGAAGTAATAGGCAATGCTTAAGTGTGGGGTTTAGTCTCAATATCTCGTGTTTGTCTTAGAACAACTAGGAATATATGTTTAGCTTTGGCATTTTTCCTGTTTGTCAACCTCAAATTGCCTTGCTGGGTATAATTTTCAGTTAATGGTAAATTTTATTCTTCTTCCCACTTAATTTCTTAATAGATTACATTTTCTAGATTTAATTAGCCTAGTAGTGTCTATTTAGTCTATTTAAGTGTCTTTGGTTAGGGAAAATAATAATAACCCAAGGGCTAGATTTTTAACTACTAAAAGATTAATGAGGTTCTTTATCTAATGGTTTGCTAGCAGTTGAGTTAGTGTCTTTATTAAGAGCTAGCTCATTATTGGGGGATTTGAGTCAAAACAGCTATTATAACTGAATACTCTGGCTGACATTAGCAGTTGTAGGGTTAAGGTGATAGTGCTCTCTCACGTGAATGAGTTGTAGTTAAGTGAGAAATACCTGTTGTGTGCGTCCTCTCTTTGTTTCTTAATATATGCAGGGAATAATTTAAAACTTATTTATAGGTGTATCTTAAAATATATTTCTAATATATTAATAAATACTTACTGTGATACTTTAAATTATATATGGGGTTTAGTTCAGAATATAAGTGAAGCATTTTGTGACTTGAAAATGTTATATGCAGAAACTTGGGAGTGAAGTTTTATAATCTTAGAAATAGAACTTTAATTCTAAAAATAGTTGATGCTTCAATTGTTTAGGCCCACCTTTTCAAATAAGTTAATAAATTGCATGAGAATTTGTACCTAGGCAGGCTGTATTATAAAAGTTCGATATAAGTATTTTCAGTTAAGACTTTCAAAGTTTAATTAAAAAGCATTGCTACAAAATTCATAAAACCCTTTCTGAATGCAGAATATTTTGTTGTTTGTGCTGTCAAAGTGACTTTTCACCAATCAGTCTTTAGTCTTGCTTAATAGGCATTTAGGCAACACATACCGATCTTTTTACTTTAAAAAATAATCATTCAATTGAGATTGGACCAGAAAATTAATGTCTCATGCCTGTTTGCTTCAAAATATTGAGTGTCTTTAGTTTGATGTTTTCACCTGAAAAAATAATATTTAAAATAAGAAAATAGTAACACTTTTAACTTTACTCTCAATTAAGTATAGTCAGACAAGAAAAACCCTTTCCAAACACATTATTTAAACTAATCCGATAATTTCATGTTCTTTTCTTTATTTTTGCCAAGCGTATATGCATGAAAGGAGCCTCTTACTTGAAAGATTCTCCTAACAACCTCTTCAGCATTTAAAATGTTTTATTATTTGAGTACCAGCTGATACTTCCAAAATTCATAGTCCTATTCTAAGTTTTATCTTATGTGTGTAGTATTAAAAGACTATATAAGGGGGCTTCAAAAGATGCATAATAAAGTAGAATTAAAGATAATGAAGTTAACCCATGAACTTTCTGAAGCTTTCGTGTATATAAACTTTATAAAATTGTTAAAGGAATCATTAACTCAAATTCTGTTCTTTTCATTAAGTTCTTTTCATTAAGTATTTATCATGCTTGCTAAATTTCTTTGAAGCATCCCTTGGGTGACGTCTGATTCTTTGTACGCAGTTTTAAAAGTGGGCAAAAAGGAATGAGGTGTGAGTTAGCTACTTCTAACAGCACAGAAGGGAGACGTGACAAGTCAGCTGTGTGAACTATGTGTCAGAATTATTTTTATATTTCTAGAGATGCCTGTATTTTGACAGCCAAAAGGATTTGTGATTAATAGTGCACACTAAAATATATGGCAAAGAAAGGATGATTTTTGTTCTTGAAAGTACTTTGCTAATTCTATTCTACTTAAAAATATATATATACTTCTCCAGATAATATTTGGTAGAAAATATTGAAAGAGTTGAGATCCTTAAACAATTCTGCATGCAAGTTCTCATCAAATTTAAAAGATGCAATAGCAATAGCCAGATTAAAAATATAGCCAGGTGTAAGTAGTTCTCCCCAAAGTAAACTGATCATCAGTGTCTGAAGGCCATTTATTAAAATTCTCTTATGTAGATGAAGCAATCTTCTTAAGTTTCTGTCACAGATATTGCATATTGTTCGCTGTTTTTCCATAACACTTGGAAGATGGCAAGCAATAAGGATTTGCCCGAGCTTAGAAACACGCTAATCCATAGGTCATAATGTATGCCCCAGAATGAGCCATTTTAGTTGCCACCCTTCTGTACCAATAGTTAACATTTTGTACTATAATTTTAAACTCTAAAGTTTCTTTCTGTCTACAGAAGTGAAAGTAAAGTTCACATTTATAACTTTAAAACTTTTTAGTTTTTCTGTCATAAGTAGTTGAAAAAAAAAAACCCAACAAAAACCATATCTCTGTGATGCCATTATTCTAACATAATTAGTAATTGCTTTATTTATATATAAGTATTCATAGGGCCAAACAACAAACTTTTTCTGTTGAACACCAGTTTAAAATCAAAGTATTAATATTAACATAGTTTTACATTTGAGTAGGAACAAGTTTGAATGTAGTGATAGGTGATATTAATCAGATCCCAAATAGCTGAATTTGATCCCAAGTAAGGAGCGTTTGCATGCTCTGAAGCCGTAGAATACATAAATACTATGTCTCTACTTTTGTCAATAGAGATGGATTTCTGAATTTGTATTATAGACTAGAGGGTCTCCCAGAAGGTATTCTGTATATTTTAGGAGATATATTTAGAGCAAATTTCTAATGACGACTAAAAATAGTCTTCATTAAAGTCAGATTTTGAACATTTTATTTATGTAGATTAGAAATAGAACACAAATGTTTATGGGTTTATGGATTTATTAAAGTAAAATCACATGAATAGTTTTAAACTTAGACTTGCATAATTTAAAAAGAAAACCACCTTAAGTTTAGTAGTGTGTCATTTTTACCAAAATTCATTTTAAACATGTTTGTTTAGGTTTTACTGCAATCACAGCGACCAACCCCATTTGGCTTATAAAGACTCGGTTACAGCTTGATGCAAGGTATGTTAATTCATTTAGTTAACATTGATTTCAACTACTTTTTTTCATTCTTTTTCATTTGAGATTTCAGGGCCTGGTACTTAACCATGTTTTTTCCCTTAGACACTAACTGAAGGAAGTTTCTTAAGTGCACAATGCTTAATAAATACAAATAACCAGGGGTTTTTCACTAGGAATACTAAGTGAACCATACAGTCGTTGCCTTCAAGAGAGGGAATTTGACTTAAATTGTACTGTAGTGACCCTTTTGGAAAGAGGGAACTGCCCCTTTGGTTTCCAGAGATTCTAAATCTTTACCAGAGCAGAAAGCCCCAGCTCCCTACTGGGAAGCAGCTGGTGGATTTGAACTGCAGGTTTTCTGGTTAGCTACGCAGTATGTAATCCACTACACTGCCAGGAACATTATACAACTCCTTGGCTGTACTAAAATCAGATTAATCATAGTCTTTGCTTTATGAGGCATTCTTCATCATTGTTATCACAGTCTTCTCTTGTTAAATATGTTATTAAGTGCAAAGAAAATTCAACTTACTTGGAAAGGGATTTCGGGTTAGGGAGTTAGGTCTGTTTGTTTTTATCTTGAGTTGCAATGGAGCTGATAGCTCCTACAGAAGTTGTTACTGACCCCCACAACCTGAACTCCATAAGGACATGAAATAAGGATTCAGTGTGTGTTTTGCCTCCATTAAAATTAACTATTTAATCTATTTCCCATCTAATATGAGAAATTTGGGGCAAAATAATGGAAAATTAGGGTAATAAATATTTTAGCATTTAATTTCACTTACTAATTTAGAGAGGGCCATTCTTTATTAGAGTGGCATATTCTGTACTTTATTTTAAAAATAACTTTATGGCATATACTTCACTTATACAATTACGTTTATTTATTCCACTTTAATTCTTCGTTGTATTAACGTAAAGATAACACTTAGGCCAATTAAAGTGCTGCCCTGGAATTTCTTCACCATTACTAACATCCAAGCACCAGCAAGTAAGATTTAAAATAAAATTCAACGCAAGATGCTGAAGACTCATCACTTGATATCTCTTTAAATTTTACTGTCTTTCTTATAGCCCCATGGTAAGGTTAATGTAACTTCATAGAAACATTGTAACTAAAGTTAGAAGTTTGCCCAATAGCACCCTCTGCACACACTTCAGGTTAACAGCAAAGAATGTTACTTGTGCCCATCTGCATCTGATACCAATTAAAGGAGACTGCTTTGCCAGTAAACATGCACATAGATACTCTTCCATGGTTAGGAAAAGAGGCTGCCACAGCTGACGGGTCCCAAAGATACATGGACATGTGCAACTGAATGGTTGAATCATATTGAGAAGAGGTGTGCTATCACCACCACAGTCAATGTCAAGACATTTTCTTTTACTTGCTGTTAGTGCCCCATACCCGCCCCCAACCCCCAACTTTCCCTGCCACTTCCCTAGCTAATAATTAATCCAATTAGTAACTGTTGCTTAATGATTCCACATGCTGGGCTGTCTTTTACTTCGATTGTTGAGAGTTCTCGTTCTGCTTTTCAGGACCCGTGGGGAAAGACGAATGGGTGCTTTTGACTGTGTTCGTAAAGTATATCAAGCAGATGGACTCAGAGGATTTTACAGGGGCATGTCTGCTTCATATGCTGGCATATCAGAGACTGTTATTCATTTTGTTATTTATGAAAGTATTAAACAAAAACTACTGGGATATAAAACGGCTTCTACAATGGAAGATGATGAAGAGTCTGTGAAAGAAGCATCAGACTTTGTGGGAATGATGCTGGCTGCTGCCACTTCAAAAACGTGCGCCACGACTATAGCATATCCACATGGTAAGAGGAGTTGAGTCTGTGTGCTGTGCTCGGGTACATCAGAAATGCTGTCTTCCTGTAACCAAAGTGTATAAGAATGCTCTGAAATCACAACAACGGAACTACTCTTGGGGGAGTCCATGGTAACAGGAATAACTCTATATAAGTCACACCCTCCTCCCCATCGGCCCCCCTTCCACCAAAAAAACAAACAAAACACTACTCACTATCATCAAGTACGTTCCAACTCATAGCAACTGTATAGAAAATAGAACTACTCCCCCCTGCCCTCATGAGGTCCTATGGTAGTAATTTCTCTTAAAAGATTTAATACCAAACTAGTCCCAAGATGATGGATATTGCAAAAGTTCTACTCTTGCAAGATGCTAGTCTGCACCATTCTCCACACCTCCCCCGACCCCCACGCCGAGTAGATTCCCTGGTGTTTCTGGGTTCCATGAATCGATACAATGTCCCACAGAATTCATGAAAGTTTGAGGAATTGTCTCAAGCGATAGTGGGTGCAATTCAGCCCAAAGGCCAAAAGTCCGGCAGGGGTGAGTCAGATGGTGGGGCTAGAGGACACACTCCAGTCCTGGCTCTTGCCAGTCATGAGCTTCCCCCCACCCCCTCCTGCTTCTCATTGGACTTGTTTGATATGCAGCAGAGTGGCATTGGAAGGAATCCTGGTCCCAGTTAGTCACAGGTGAATCCTATCAGTATCTTCTCCTCACCTTCTTAGCAGACCCACGCAGGGCAAGGTCATTTGATGATGCAATAAAATTCCATCCAAATGTAATTCTCCACTCTGGGCTGTGTCTTACTTGTGCAGCCCGGGGCCTCTGGCAGAATGTTTCCAGTAGACATTGGCCTCCTACTAATATTAATCAGCCAGACTTTTTTCCCAGGCCATTCCGGAAACAGTTTTCTTTCTCTTCTCAGCTGTAGGAGCCAATTCCTTACATTCATTGTAAATAATAGTAACTGAGATAAACATTAAACTAATAGTGTGGTTCCGTTCTCGGGAGGCAGGAGTGTGTCTGTCCCTGTGAAGAGCTCCGATCTGGAAACCCACAGGCAGTTCTCCCTGCCTGTCCTGAGGGTTGCTGTGAGTCAGATGCCAGTGAGTTTGGGTTTGGTGGCTCAGTCCACGCCATCCAATAAGGTCAGGACGCAATCCCATTTCACTCCTGTTTCTTACCAGATAGTGCCCTCCAAAAGGGTCCGCAGGCATAGGAAGTCCAGAAGGGTTGTGTCATACAAGCAGTTATGGCTGCAAGGGCCACACCAATTAAGTCTAACTCGGTGACTGAGATTGGAACTCTATGGGAGCAGAAAGCCTCATCTTTCTCCCATAGAGCGCCTAGTGGGTGCAAACTGCTGACCTAGCGGGTAGCAGCCACTACCAGGACACCAGAGCTCCTTAAAGCAACAAAAGTCTGTATGTACAACATAGGTTAGTGTGACTCATAAAATAGCATCTTGGTGCTTGAGCATGGACTTAGACAGACATTAAAATCTAGCCATGCCACTTGCCTCATCTAGGTGACTTGGGAGCAGAGTAAGTAATGGGTACACTCACCCCCATGATTCAATGTTAGGTCTCTAAGGAGAGGGGTGGGGGGAAATACCTTGCTGCATGTAGACTCTTTAAAAGCTCCCTTTACTCAAAATTGCCATTTTCTCAGCTTTGTCCACCTGACAGAGTTGAGTTTCATTGATTTATAGCAGTTAGAATAATTAACCAATTGAGATCAAAAGGGCAGCATTTCCCCTAGGACAAAGTTCAGGAGGATTTAGAAAGGAGGAGAGATGGAAAGCAGAAACACAGGAAGGAAGTGGGATAAGTGGTGTTACATTGTGGGGATTGCAGTGGATGGCTCGAGCTAAGTGTGTGATTGTTTCATATAAAACTGCTCAGCAGACCTTCACCCAACTCACAGTCAAAAGTTTAAAAAACAATAAGAGCTTGTCCAAGGTCACATAGTTACCACTAGAGCTCAAATTGGAATCAAAGTCTATAATCTCAAATATTTCATATAAGCAAGTTTGTGTGTATGGGTCATTTTTTATCTTAATTTTATATCAGCCTATTTCATTAATAGCTGGAGAAATGCAAAAATTTATAGCATACTTCATTTATTTGTTTCTATGTTGATACATATATTTGGTCTACTTGAGGTTTGTTTTCTTTTTAAAAAATACACACTTTAAGTGCTTCACGTTGTCAAAAATAATGAGCTTTTATCTTCACCCTTGTGAAATTCAAAGCTCTAATTAGAGCAACATCAGGATAAATGAACTACTAGGGAAATAAGTCTTTGCTGTAAGGTATAATTTATGTAAGGTGTTCTTTTTAACCAAATTGGACTATTATGTAGCTCTTTTCCATAAACTACACATTAAAAATTACTCATTTATTCTGAACGTAGAGGCTGATAAGTGACATATGCTCATTATAATTAAGAGAGTATAAAGATAGCACTCATGTTTAGTTAAAATAACTTTTTTCCCCCCTAAACAGAAGTTGTAAGAACAAGACTACGTGAAGAGGGAACAAAGTACAGATCGTTTTTCCAGACACTATCTTTGGTTGTTCAAGAAGAAGGGTATGGGTCTCTCTACCGTGGTCTAACAACTCACCTGGTGAGACAGATTCCAAACACAGCTATTATGATGGCCACCTATGAGTTGGTGGTCTACCTACTCAATGGATAGCAGCATGTGCCTGTCCTTCTATCAAGAAAGAAGACCAAAAGATGATGGTGGACCACGGGATATCTAAGCCAGCATGATGGACAGAAGGAAGACAGCTGGGGAACATGTAACTATGCCTAAGTGGAGGTTTCCTTGTAGGAGTTAAAATAGTCACACCACATCACTTGAGCTTTGGCGAAATGTAGGTGGGAAAAACACCCCATCTTCGTCCATGAAAACATACTTCTCAAAATTGCCATTTTCTCTATCATATCCACCTAACACAGTTGTTTTGCTGATTTATGGCAGTCAGAGTATAGCATTGTTTATTCCATAAGCACTTTTCCTGTCTTCTAAGCAAAGCCATCTCTAATAATATACTGTGGTATGACTGCCCAAAGATAGCATTGACTGGCTCCTATTCAATTCCTGTAAAGTTGCAAAATAACAGCATTGATAAGTGAGGTCCTGGGTATTATTTTCCCATTTCGCTGACAGGTCCTGCCACAATAGTGTAAACTTAATTACTTGATGTTAGTAGCTGATGTTTTAGACAGCTAATAACAAACATACTGTCTAAATACTTCTGTTTCCAGCATTGAAATGTTTTGGTTTCCACTTCTAATAGGTGCTTGGTAATACATCAAATTCATCTGGGACAATGAATTAGCTTGAAAATGAAAGGCATTCATTTGGACAAAATAAAACCAGTGAGATAGTGATTCTGGCCGTTGTGGTGACCTGAGCACGCCTTGTCTCTGACTTGTGACTTGTGCATGGAGACCGCGAGTGGAGGGAGTCAGCCATATTCTTCGGTGATCATTAGTTAAGAGCCGACTTATCAGACCTAGGTATCAGTTATTTAAAGGGTGAGCGTTTTTCCCCATTTTTGAATTTTCTGTTTGCTTGCTTAGAGATTTAGAATTTGAACCTTAGAATTATTTCCAGAAGATATGTAGAAATTGAATTTATTGTACAGAGAAGATGGTAATTTTTAACTTTGCCCTTACACCTTTTTTCTCTTTTGTTTGAAGGTGACATAATATTGATATCTGGGGCAGTTAAAAAGAAGAGAGAAATTCTGCTGTCTGAGTCAGCAGGTAGTGATTTCAATTGACTTAGAGTTGAAAATGAACAAATTAATTTTAAATTAATTCTAATTTCCTGAATGGTAAATCATAAAGAGTTGAATTAATTCACATCAATTGTGCTAAAAGGCCATAGCTTTTAATTTTTGCTATTGAGCTCAACTGCACCTTTTAATATTTTGAATCTTGTCTGTGTGGCTCTTTCGGAAGATGCTCACTGTCCTGTGAAGAACACCTGGTTATGAATGTTGCTGTGCCAGGGGAACTCCAGTGGTACCCGCTCAGAATACATGAACTGTCCATTTGTGCAATTGCTTTATCAGACTGCTTATGAATGCACTTTGTGGCCTTTTTGGGTAGTGAGGGAATAAGAGAGAATTCCATGTTAAAGATTTTTTTTTAATTGGTCCTGTGTTAGGTAGAACCCGTGTTGATACCATTTTTCTGGATTTTAGATACAGTGTTTTGGAGATTTTCAGTATAAATGTTCTAAATATTCTGTGTATACTTAAGTGCCCCCAGTGTTACTGAAAATTACAGTATGTCATTGCAAGACCTCTCTGGTGTCACCAATAACACATAGTGCCCTCTTGAATTTCCCACCTTCTTAAAATCCTTATAATCAACAGTAACTGGATGTTTTTGAGGTGCTTTGATTGGAATTTTTCAATATTCCAATCTCATTTGGAGACCAAAGGCAAAATGAGTTCTCTTACCTTTGGGATTATTAATAACCTTTTTAGCTTTGACATTTATTGTGGGGCACATACCAAAAAAAATAAATGGAGGTTTCTAACATAAATCTGCAGTTTCAGTCTATAGTATTTGCCTTTTCAGGTGCCACTCACTTAGGCTTGCCTAATAGAATGCCATTTGCCTTGGAAGATCCGTAAGCATTAGTCAATGCTGAAGGTAGGACAGAAACTTTCTCTAATCTTAATGATCTCAGTACCCCACAAATGGTTAAGAATGACATGAAAACCACCAGCCAAGGAACATCCTATTGTCTCCTTGTAGCAAATTCATAACAAGTGTCATTTAAGGATAAACATTTTAATCCTATTTATTTGCATTTAGCAAGTAAAACATTTGTTGGCCTTTATTACATTATATTCAGCTTTCAAAATGAGTATTATGTATACAAGGGGCTTAAAACGCTTGGAAAAACGACTGTAATTCCATTTTTGCAGTTTAAGAGGTCCTGTCATATACAGGGAGGACAAGTTTTAGTGTCTTAGATTTTGTTTCTTTGTGCAACAACTGGAAAGGAGCATTGATGTTTATTTGAATTGATTGCTTTTGTTCCCAAAGCACAATCTATAGAAGTTTACATTATGTATGAGAGGCATCATTAGGAAAAAGAAAACTATATATAAAAATTGTATATAAACTTTATCTCCAGACGATCTCTTTGGAGAATTTTTTTTATTAGTGATTCAAATGTTTTAAAAAGAAAAACAAAAACGCACATTCAAAGCATTGGATTCCTTTTTTGTTGTTGTTGTAAGAAAAATCCTTATTTTAATCTATTTTCTATCAAATGATTTTTTGCTTTTGTTTTTCTGGTATAAAGGGTGTCAGCACTCCAGATTGGTATGTACTTCTATTAGAAGATATGCTCAGAAGATAGACCTTATCTAAATGAAAGTAGTAGATACTAAAAGAACATTCTCTAATCTGGTGCCTGTTGATTTATAGAAATTATTTGCTGAGTTTCAAAATTCAATTATGAGAATTATCTCTGTGATTGTGGGGTGTACCAAACAGAGCTTTTATGTCACACGCGGAAAAATCGTCACCAAAGCTTTGTTTTCATTCTCATTATGTATGTAACCTTACTAGATGAGGCCCACACGTAATTGATTTATAACTTCAAAACCACAACAGAGATTACTCTGCCTGTTGTCTCCTAGCACAAACTAATGCCCCCTGTGGACCAGCATTATTGCATTAGGACCAGTGGAGTTTGGGTTGCTAAAGACAAATGCTCACTCTTGTACCAGAGTATAAATATCTCAGCATTTTTAGATTTTAAAAAAATATTCATTATTTTTAATTGAAAGGGTTTATATGCCAGGAGTTATCTAGCTCTTACTCTCTGTCTTGTTCACATGCCCAGTACCAGGTTGTTCATGGGCTCATTTGCTCAGAGTGTTAAGTTTGAAGGGACCCCCCCTTGGAAACGAATAAGAAAAATATTCAGCCCTTTCCTCTTCCAATAGTGATCATGGCTTCAACATTCCTAAGAATATAGATGATTCTGACCATTTAAATTGGAGAGAATTTTAACATACGAAATTAAGACAACGGACTTACTGCCTGTTCAAATCTCCTTTCCATCCTGCCCTTACATTGCTCATACACACTTATTTGGATGTGATGCCGGTCGAAACTGAGAATTCAGTTTGGCTTGCTTTCTGTGTTGCTTTTTGAATGTGTACCCCAGCATATGTGAACAATTAAATTATGACCCATCAGTCATAGCTAAATAGTCAACTTCATACGAATTGCTGTCTTTTAGTCATTTATATGAGGTTTGCTATTTTTGCATTATTATACATAGCTGTAAATTATGTGCATTTACTCTGTATTTATGTTAACAAGCTGACTTATGTGAATTATTAAAATTCAAAAAGTTAAATGTTTATGAACATGTTTTGTCTTTGATGGTATATTTTAATAATCTGACATGGTATCAATATAATCACACTTTCTTTCGCTTATGCGTGGTTCAAAAGAACCTTACCTGTTTTAAGTGAATGGTCATTGACGTGAGCCTCAGTGATTTTAAAAGGGGGAGTGCTTTGGTGAAATGACTTTTAAAAGACCCGGAAATGCCTGGGAAACAGTCCTTTAACCAGACTTTGGAATAAGAATTTTTAAAAATTGACAGGCTGATAGGAGGAGGAACATGACTTGTTGAACCAGAGATCCAAGTGTTTTAGTAGCCCAGGTCAGAATTTCCCATTTTCTTTTACCTCCTCTCTCTCAGGAATTGACTCTAAAAGGAACTTCTTAGAGATTATGAAACTAGCAGACAAACCCAGGATTCTAAACCATGCCTAATTCAAAGGAGATCTTCATATCCAACCCCAAACAACATAATACAAACCCACTGCCACAAAGTCAATTCTGACTCAAACAGCCCTATATAAAGCATTTCCAAGGTGGTGAACCTTTACTAAAGCAGACAGCCCCCAACTTTCTCCAACAGAGCAGCTTTGATCTATACAATAGGTTTCCATATTTATTTGGCCTACTGCCCCCTTTTCAGAAAAAAAAAAGAAAAGTACTCATCACTCTGTGGCTAAAAAACCTTTTAAAGTGCAGCTCCTTTGCATCATTTCATCGCCCCCTAAAGGATCGTGTTGCCAACCTTGGGAAGCACTGATCCATACCTTTGTAGATTGCATATTGATTTTTGGTTTGTTTTTCTCCCATCTTCACTCCCAGTAAATGTGTTGTTTGAGCAGCTAGGCATCATTGAATAAAAATTAATGTAATAAAGGATGAGTGATAGAAAGTTTAAGAATTGTAAATCTAGAAGAAGACATGAGAAGATCTGCAATTTAAGGTTAGAGTTCATGAAAACACCAGCTATACGTTTGGGTTTTTGTACAATTAGACATTCGGTTAAATGCAACATTAAAAGTAAGTATGACATCGCAATCTGAAAAAATACATGTATCTGACTATGAATGAACTGAAAAATCGGCAAAGTCTTGAATAAGCACGGCCCAAAAGGAAAGAATGAGCATATGAAAGATGGTTAAACATGCTAAAAGTCAAAACGAGAAACCACTGTTGACCCAGCAGAATGACCAGCAAACCATAGCTGTTGGATGCCATTGAGTCCACTGCAACCCCGAGCACAACGGCGTGAACGCTGCACAATCCTGCAACATGCTCAGCTCATCGATCCAGCCACTGTGTCAGTCCATCTTGTCAAGGGCTTTACTGTCCTTTGCCACCCCTTCCTTTACAAAACATGATGTCCTTCAGGGACTTGTCTTTTCTGACAATATGTCCAAATAATGTACTACAGAGTCTTGCCATCCTTGCCTCTAAGGAGAACTCTGGCCTGTTTATTCCAATACAGATCAGTTTGTCCTTTTAGCAGTCCATGGTACTTTCAACATTATCCAGCACCACACTTCAAATGCACCAATTCTACCAAATGCATCAGTTCTTCTACAGTCTTTATCCAATATTCCGCTTTCATGTACATATAATACATTGCAGAGTACTGTGGCTTGGATCAGGTACACCTTAGTCTTCAAAGTAACATTCTTGCTCTTCAATACTCAAGTCTTATGCAGCAGATAGAGGACATCATTTAATCTCGACTGCTGCTCCCATGAGCCTTGATTGTAGATCCGAGGAAGGCAAAATCCTTGACATCTTCAACCTTTTCTCCATATATCTTGATGTTACCTCTTGGTCCAGTTGTGAGGGTTTTGCTCTTTACATTGAGTTGGAATACATAATGAAGGCTACAATCCTTGATCATCAGCAAGTACTTCAATTCCTCCTCGCTTTCAGCAAAGTTATCTGCATACCACAGGTTATTAAACCTTCCTCCAGTCTTGATATGCTGCACTCTTCATATAAACCAACTTCTATAATCATTTCTTCAACGTACAGATCGAACAAGTAAGGAGAAGTTACAGCCCTGATGCACACCTTTGCTGGTTTTAAACCATGCACTATTCCCTTGTTCTGTTCGCACAACTGCCTCTTGATCCATGTACAAGTTCCTCATGAGCACAATGAAGTGTTCTGGGATTCTCATTCTTTTCAAGATTATCACAGTTAATTGTGGTAAACATCTTTCTGGTATTCTCTGCTTTGAGCCAAGATCCATCTGACATCAGCAATGATATCCTTTGAATCTGGCCTGAACTACTTTTACTGGTGGTACTGCTGCAATCGTCGTTGGATGATAGCCAGTTTTTGCATGTGTGTGATTATCAATGATATTCTATAGTTTGAGCATTCTGTTGTGTCACTTTTCTTTGGAATGGGCACATAACGTGGATCTTCTCCAGTTGGCCAAGTAGCTGTCTTCCAAATTACTAGCATAGACAAATGAGTGCTTGCAGTGCTGCGCCTTTTGGAACTTAGGGATATGAAAACGACAGAACTCTCAGACCTTATTCGTGGGAGTGTAAGTGACTTTGAAAAACTAGTTGTTAATAAAGTTTTAACTACATTTACCCTATAACTGAAATTGTTAGATTTTCCAAGAGAAATCAAAATACGTCCACAAATGCTCATAGCAGCTTTCTTAAAATCAAGGGAAATTATGATGAATTCAGAATAGAAGAGAAGAAACAAAAACTAAACCATGAGTAATTGATACATGCAATAATGTGGACAAGCATCAGAAACTGAATGAATGGAGCCACATACAAAGTAATACTGCCAAGAATAGGCAAGATAAATCTGGTCACAGAAGTCAAAGAAATTGACTGGGGTGGGGGCCTGGATCATGGTTAAACAGGTGCATAATGGCAACTCATTAGCTGACCATATATTATCCAATGAACGTGTTTTGAAACATCTAAAAGAGCAAAGCAAAAACAAATCCTTGAGTAAAGTATAGAAAAAGCATGAAGACTTAGATACTGGAACTATCAGTACAGTTCATAAGCATGCTTAATTTAAGATACTTCAAAAAATAGGATGCAGGTTTCAAAAATTACTATCATATATACAACATTGGAGCTTTGAACAACGTGTTTGGCTCAACAACTAAATCTCAGCTGGGGCACGCTTTTAAGACATTGCTCCCAAAATGTTGAAGGATTCCTCAGTGATTTTTTTTTTGCCCCCACCCCATACAATTAGAAACGGATTTGGGGCTGTATGGGTAAGAAGTGTAGCTAGGGTTTAGGTAGCCAGGAGCACTGAAGAGGATGCTCCCTGGGTCCAGCTGATGCAGAATCCAACCTTTCAAGGAAAATGCCCCCCAAATTAGACCTGCAGCAGAACTCAGAGATTGAACCATTTCAGTTGGCCCCCATGATCACAGAAATAGGGAAACATTTACATAACACCTCAAGGACTGAGAGGAACCCTGGTGACTTCCTGGTTACTAGTTGCACTGCGATCCACAAGGTTGGCAGTTTGAAACCATCAGCACCTCTGGGAGAAAGACAGCTTTCTACTCCCATACACTGACAGGGTCGCTATGAGTCCGCATTGACTCAATGGCAGTGAGTTTGGTTTGAAGTAATTTTGATTATCCAGGAGAGAGATTTTGGCTAATTAAACATGGTTGATAAGTCTAGTAATGTATATTAGAATATTATGGGATAACCAGTGAATAAACATAAATTGCCAATATAACTCCTATACTTACTAAAGAGGAAAACGAAGTTCCTTTTTTTTTCTTTTTTAATTTTAGGGCGCTTGTACCACTCATCACAATCCATACATCCATCAATTGTGTCAAGCACATTTGTACATTTTTTGCCATCATTTTCAAAACACTTTCTACTTGAGCCCTTTGTATTAGCTTCTCATTTTTCCTCTTCGTCCCCCACCCTTCCTCCCTCATGAACTCTTGATAATTTATAAATTATACTTTTTTCATGACCAATTTCTCCCTTCACCCAATGAAATATTTTTTAAAGGCACAAACAAGAGGCAAGCAACATCAAATTATATGACGCTTCTAGATCCAAATTTATTTATTTATTT